GACAATGAGAAACATTCGTTTGAAGGTTCCCGAAGTACAAAGCGTTATTCAGCAGATATGAGCGAGACATAGTAATCATTTCTGAGTTCATATTCGCTTATAGTCCAAAGAGTATCAAAAGTGAAGGAGTTATTGACCGCCGAAGATTTCGTTGGAGCCACAAGCGAACACTAAGGTCAATTCAGATTTTCCACCACTAGTTTCAACAGCCATTACTGTCAGTTTGAGATGTTCAAAAAGCCTGATTTGTAAGTCGAGAGACAAATAACAGATACTTATGAACATAGGTACACGTCAGCTAGTCAATGATCTCCAATGCATTTTTACAGTTTGACAAACTGAATATGCTTTTGTTGAACTAGAAAAAAAGAAATCAATTCGATCCAACTATGTTAAAATCTAGTATATTGATATCGGTTGTGTTTTTCAGGTACTAGAGTCGATACAATTGAAGTCACAGTGAATAAAACAAAAGGTGTTACTGGTATTAGGACAAACGAAGCGAAAATTCAAAATGAACGAAACTGGAAAATCAGATAAGAACACAGGTATGTTCCATGTGATAGTCGGTCAAGACATTGTTTATCTTTTTCTCTCGACAGGGATTTGAATCGTTTTCTTAACAGTAGTGTACAAGTCGAAAACTAGACTCAGCTGAAAAAATGACTTTTCAAGTTTTAAATTTTTGTTCTCGTTCCGCAGGTTCGTGTACCACATCCTTTCGGTGCGCTCATCAATTAGCTTTTTGTGTTGACTTGATGTCTGAATAAACAGTATTTTCTTTTTCGCACCTACTCTGCAAACCTCAACGGCCCTGATGGTGCCCCACGGCAAAATATGTTTTGAGTTTTGTTCACAAATTTTATTTGAGAATATTTTTAGCTACATCGAATATATCGAATTCTTCCTGTATAATTTACTTAAATGGCATCCCCGCAAAGATCACGAATGCAAATTTAATGTCTGTAGTTCATGAAATACAGACGGCCAACATTTCATCGAAAATCCAGAGAGAGAAGCAAACTTGAATATAATGTTTTCAAACTTCGAAACTCGTCTGTTCGATAGATCCAACTTTTCGAGTGCTACACTTATGAAGCGCACTAAAACTACAATTTTTTGAAAAATTTTGAAATAGAGGATAGAAAACAATTACCAGTCCCTCGAAAAAGATGCGCGCATCAGAATACGGTAAGTCGCAGAAAATAAATTGCACTGAATGTTTATCACTAAATGTGTGTGTTTCTGGACAAAAAAACCTACAAAGTAATACAAAGTAACGATGAAAAGTGGCCTTAATCTTCAAAAACCAATCTTTTTTCAGAAAGTAAAAAAAAATCACTTTAGTCTCGTCCAGACAGAACCAACAGTGGCTGAAGTATTGAGAAAGTTTCGAGAATCATAGAAATACTGTCACACAAGTTTCGTTCAGATCGGTCGATTAAGATAAGCTCATGTTCTTCTTATCCAAAAACACTCAGAAGCGACGACAACCGTACAAGTGGATCTGTAAATGTTTTACTTATAACCAAAAAGAAATCTGACGTTTTGATATCGCTAAAATAGGAGATATGAAGGCAAGAGGCATCATTGGAAGGACATCAAAGTGACTCGTCGTTGTTTTCACGATAACAGAACGTGTGACATTTGTTTGTGATCGCCCAAGGAGATCACCAAAATCTTCTGATCAAGAATAGTCTACTACGATAAGATCTACTTCTGTTTTATTGTAGCTCTCCCAAACATTTCTCCCAACGCCAGATGGACACAAAACGGCATCATTGTCGCTGGTGGTCACGGAAAAGGCAATGCACTCAATCAACTTCACCACCCTTGCGGTCTCTATGTGGATGATGATCAAAGTATTTTAATCGCTGATCATTATAATCATCGAATTGTGGAATGGAAGTGTGGTGCAACGAATGGTCAAGTAATAGCCGGTGGAAACGGACCAGGAAATCGGAATGATCAGTTGTATTGTCCATCAGATATAATTGTTGATAAAGAGACAAATAGTCTTATCATCTGCGATCGATACAACCGACGAGTGATGCGATGGCCTCGTCAAAGTGGCACTAGTGGAGCAGTGATAATCGAGGATATCTCTTGTTTTGGACTGGCAATGGATGACCAGCGATTTCTCTATGTCTCTGATTATCAAAATCATCAAGTAAGGCGATATCGACTAGGCGAGACGAATGGAACAGTAGTGGCGGGCAGCAATGAACAAGATAAACGTCTCGATCAACTCTCTCATCCTCACGATATCTTTGTCGATCGAGATCACTCGGTCTATGTGTCGGACAACAACAATCATCGTGTGATGAAGTGGATGAAGAATGCGAAAGAAGGAATTGTCGTTGCTGGTGGTCGAGGCCAAGGAAATGATCTCACGGAATTGTCCTGTCCTGCAGGGGTGCTCGTCGATTCCTTAGGCACCGTCTATGTTGCAGATTGTAGCAATCATCGAGTGATGCGTTGGTGCAAAGGAGCCACACAGGGAGATGTGATTGTGGGCGGAAAAGATCAAGAGCAACACGCATATCTATTGAATTGTCCTACGGGTTTGTCATTCGATCGATATGGTAATCTCTATGTCGCCGATTGGGCAAACCATCAAGTAAAACAATTCTTCATCGAAACAAATTGACTATGTTTGTTTTTGAGAATGATTTATAGTGAATAAAAGGATACCCGCGTCCTTGATCATGGCTGCTTCAGTCTCCTAACCACTCATACACGAACAGTAAAAATCCATATGCACGACGGACATACATAGCATATGTGTGCGGACTCGAGGAACCTGTCGTGTTGCTCCCACTACCAGTTAGATTAAGGAGGATAGTCGCGATGCCGGAATCTTCGGCATCTTCTCCGTATTGTAGAGAATGGCACGAAGAGTTGTTCAACTGTTAAATTACGAACTAGTTTGGGTTCTATGATATTTTATGTCGAAGAAAAGCAGCAGAAGTTATAGAATTTATCCTCTACAAACTGTATTCGGTGTTATTTAACATTGTAGAACAGAAGGCTTTTATAAAGCATTCTGTGATTCAATCAACAGACTTTGCTTCCTACAAATTTGTTTTGCTTTTTCCATCGCTTTCTCCAAGTTATAAACAAGTACCTAAGATACTTTTTTGTCTTAATTCGATTGAGTGTGTGGGTGTGGGTGTGCGGGGTGTGAGCTTGAGATGTGGGTGTTAGCGTCGATCTTCTTATGACCCACACCCATACCCTGCATGTTCACTGTGTCTTTGATTAAATGAAATATTTTTGCAGCATCGTGTGGGTGTGAATCTTGTTTGCACTGGCATTGAGACCCACACTCACACCCTTTATGAACTGAATAATTTTGTTCAAATACTTTCAGATTCAATTATTTATTTGTATCATTTCTATCATCTTTTTCTTAATGTTAGTCGAAAAGAACATATGTTGCATTTCATGTCTGATTGAAGATTATTTTTCATTACTGCTGTCTGATTCTAATCTCTTCATCATTTGATATTTTCATGTCTTCATTCAGGTAAACACATGTTAATATTTTTAATAATAAATTAGTGTAATTATAATTTAATTTCATAATTTTTTTAATGAATACCGACTCATGTCTTGCATATAGCTATTTCTAATTTTTGCAATTGGTTATTGAAGAAAAAAAACAATTCTATTTCTAATTATATCATTTTTCATTTATAATAAATTCAGTAGACTCGAGTTCGTTTTTTATCATACTTTCGCATAGTATATATGAAACAAAAGAACGAGCATATTTCTCTGTTGCTCGTTGTGTTTATTACTTGTAGATGATTGTGCAATTTCAAGAAGAAATTGCAAACATGAAACATACCAGTGAGTAATTTTGATCCACTGACCTTTGAATTATGAGCTGTACGCGCTACTTCTGCGCCACGCTGCATATACTTGCTCTCTAGTGAATAATACAAGGTTATTTTATCTTTCGTTACGAAATATTTATCGACCAAAATAAGCAAGTCAGCATAGTAGATTTGCCAAAGAACAAAATAGCGGTTATTTTCTTGGAGATTTCATATTTATACACTTATTTATTCAATATTAATAATATTTAGTGGTGATAAGTATTAGATTGAAAAGTCTATAACTATTTGTTATGTTTCCCTTCATTGGTCACCATATGATACAATCGCAGGAATCTTTCAACAACTTATCTGAATTCTTTCTTGTATTTCTTAAAGATGAACACAAATAACATAGAAATGCTTGCTACATCCGTCACTCCATCTTTTGTTGTTTGCCTGATTTGGATCTTAATTATTTCAGTTTTAACTGTGACATACTACTATTAATTTATATATTCTCGATTGAATATATTTTCTACTATTAATTATAAATTATAACATAGATATTTATATTTATTGACTTGTAGATATCAGTTGAAAATAATCTTCAACAGCATGTAGATAAAATAATAATTGCCAAGAGAATGAACATCTTGTAATATCAACTTTTATTTCTCGCGTATTTTTCGTTTGTTGATTGACATAGATGATTTTTTCATTGTCACAATCAAGTAAAAGTTCAATTTCAAACATAGTTTGACATCTCATATCCAGACAGTCTTTATTAGTTGATCAATCAGCGTGAAGATGGATTGTTTCGTCATCAGTACGCCAACCATATGTTGATATCTTCATGTCAGTTTCATTCTGTGGGATTGATTTGGCTTTCGATATAATAACCAAAGAAGCAATAGTATGTGGTTGTTTTTTTCTTTACAAACAATCGAATTTTATGTTTACCCGATGAATATTCACATATTTCACGTACAAATGTATCACTTCTCCTTGGATCGATATGTATAGCCATACAACCATTCTCTTCAATACGAACAATACCAATTGATTCTCCAAAGTTGTCATTCTGTTTTATATGTGACTTTGTTTCAGAGATACATCTTTAAGTGACAAGGATTTTTGTTGGATCTTCATAAATATTAATCAAGGAAGAAATAGTATTTAGATCAAGTTGATTTTTTCTAACAAAGTTGTCCATGCGCAAAGATCATTTTCAACATGGTCATTATCAATATGAGCTTTTCGTAATTGTTCAGAAAGACCATACAACTCTTTCAATACTTTTCCTTAACATACGCATTATTATTATTGACAAATAAATTCACCATTTCAATTCTATTTACCTGTATGTGAACAAATCAATTTTTTGATCTGTTGTCGTGTTTCTTCTACTGCTTGTTGAATTTTTATAATCGGATCTTGTTCCCATTTGTTGATTTGCGTAAGAAGAAAATGATGATTCTTCGCGTGATTGCTGTGATCAGTAATTGTTTGTTCTAGAACATCATGTTCAAGAACAATTATATCTAATTGATCACTAAGCATGTCTCGATGTTCATTAGCATGATTTCCACAAAATATTTCTGAACATCCTTCACATTTGAAAATATCCACACCTTTATTATCGCACGTGACACATGGAGTTTTTGTCGACGTTGAAGACGCCATGAAAAAGAATTCTCTTCTATTGTAAATGATGAAAACAAAACAAGACTCGTTCTCTATTATGTTTTGCATTCGAACGGCAAAAGGTAAAGAAAAGAAAGAGAATTTTATGTTGAATGCAAGCATGTGATATTGTTATTACGATCTTTCAGCTTAACACACTTTCTTGATAACTTATTTTGTTGTGTATACTTGTCGAAGAATAATATAACATCATAGTGGTCAATTCAATTGAAGCTCGTCAACCAATTTTCAGATAGATGAGAGACTAATTTGTTCTGAAAATGACTCTTTTAATGTCAATAAATACCTCATGCGTTTATTTCTTTGACATATTGTAATAAAAAAATGAACAACGAACCTTGTTTTCTCTGGGTAAGTGTCCATCGAACAATGAATTTCAGCATTATGTTGAATCAAAAAACGCAATTATTAATCTTCTTTCACTGATATATCCTATGTTATTGTAGTAATAGAAAAAATTCTATTTTGATTTGAGACAATTTATAACAAATGCTATTTCGATTGTGAGATGTGGGTATGGGGGTTATTTTACTGCATTCAAACACACACCCACGCCTACATCCGACCCTTTCTAGGAAAATGATGCGTACTTTTTTCCACAGGATATTAGCGAGTAGAATCGCGTAAAAAATCAAAAACTTTTTGTCTTGTGGGGTGTAGGTGTGTGTTTGAATGCAGTAAAATAACCTCCGCCCCCAACACCCTTTTATTTTTTCATTTTATGTTACATATTTGTCGATTTACTTTCATTCAAGAGCATATGGTAAAATTTTCAGCCCAATCAGATAAAAATTCGGATAGGTCGTAATGTACTCAAGTGAAAACGGAGTCTTGTGTATAACTCTCGCAAACTCATCGAAATCGAAAAATTCCAAAAACGACCAGAGGCATAGAGACGACGAGTATATGATAAAAATTCTAGATCTCTACGACCCTGATAAGTGGATGAACCAGAATCGTCGAAAAAGAGGTATAGTCTAACTTTAAAATAAAAGCTTATTCATGAAACATAACTGTCATTCTTCTTGTTCACCGTAAGCAATCTGATTGTGTCACTATCTGTTCCATTTTCAATGCGAAGAAAGAGTGAGAAAAACATTTTTAATGAGAGTATGCTGTTCTGTTGTCGTTTTCCTGTTTCTCAAGAGAAAGAACCGAATAGAAAGGAAAAACAAAAGAAGAAAGCAAACATCTTATTTGCACATTCAAGTAAAGGCACACGAGCACAAAAAATACCATTTACATTTGCTATTGCTTTTATTTTTCTTTGAAAAATAGGAACAGAGCAGCAATAACAACGAACAGAAGGAAAGTAGAAAATAAAAAAATTCCTTTGTGCCAGTTTTTTTTTTACAAAGTGAAAATCAAGAGTGAACGAAAGTACCGATCATATAATGAACACTGCCTCTTCTTCTTTTTTTCCTCCTCGTGCTCCTGTTCTCCTTCGCCTACGTAAGTTCCAGTGGTACTGGAACTCTGCTGCTGACCCGTGGTCTTCTAACGCAGAAGAATGGAGTAAGTTCACGGACGTCGCAAACGAGATCATCGAGGATGCACTCAACGCCAAGAAACGTCAGGTAGAGATCGACGACAGCTACGTCATCAACTTGAAAGACCGAGTGCAGTACAGGAAGGACGACACACAGAAACAGTGTCCGATCGAGAGAGTCCAACTCCACACTGACAGGAGCAACGTGCACATCCGAGAAGACAGATTCTCATTGCCTGTCGCTGTTGCCTCTACTTCGACTTTCACATCAACTGAAGACACACTCTCTGTTATTGACGGAGATTTTCGCTATACATACTGGATAGTGGAGCTGAAGAACAAGCACAGGACTCTTGGCTTCGTGGTTCAAGTAGCTGCAAAATGAATTCTTGTGGAAGATACCGCCCTCGGCAAGGCCAAGGAGGTGAAATGGCTGGCTGAGCAACTGCTGACAGTCAAGTACCATGGAGACAACGAGGAAGCGGATGGTGATCATGTAGCTATTCCCAATGTAATCGGCGAGACTTGTGTGTATCTGTACTCGAAGGATTGTTTCTAGTACAAGGAGCTGAATCGAGCGATGCGAGAACCGAATAAGATCACTCGTGAGCAGATGATGACACTGGGACCGTTCGCCTTCCTGCTAGATCAGCATTTGGTTCACAAATCGAGAGGCACTTGTCAAACTATTTACCACGGTCTCACGCTCACAGATGAATAGCGGAAAGCGTTTATGAGAAACATGAAGTTCACTTCCGTTACTTCGACTAGCAGAAGTTTATATAAGAGAGTATTCACAACTACAGCCACCCACATCCACACCCGATGTTAGAAAAATTATCATTAAAGATTTTCTTGTTGTTTTCAGCATAGGCAAAAATGAAGAATTATAATAGACAAGAATACTGGGAGATGCTGAAATTATCAGAATATTTCTTTAGAAACCGTCGACTTTTTTTATATCAAAACTTTAGCTGAAAAATGTTTGAGATGAAACTTTATTTTTCTGTTACTCTTGCATTGCATTTCATACTAAGTCATCATGAAAACTTCTGTATCCAATAAAATTCATCTGAATTTATGAATTCAGCAATAAATCCTAATAGCTTTTATGGAACTGCAGTAAAGAATAGATATTGAACCATGAACCCATTTTTTAGTTCCAAGTTGTAATTGATTGAACATTGAATTTATTGCTTGAGTATAGTAAATATTCTACAAAAACAATTCCGCATATTTCTCTTCTATTTACTACGATTTCATTATAACCTTTTATGCATTATCGATCTTTTCGGTTTTAGTAACTTAGAAAAATGAGTATCCAAATGGCAATTGAGATGTTCAAACACTTAATCTTTACGAATCGAAACCGATTAGTCCAGATGCTATATATCATGAAAAATGATCTACTCGATTGTTTCTTTGTCTATTGCTTATGTTCTTCATTACTATTCTTATTTATGCTTTTTTTTTTCATCGCGTACAATAAATATTACGATACGAAATTCCACTAAGAATAAATTCAAAAAGTTTTTTATTTTCCATAAAGTTTGCCGAAGTAAATTTGTCTCTCAAGAATAGATCGATGAAATTTATACTACAATTGTTTCATTTCTCTCAGGGATGCACACAATCAATTCAAGTCATTTAATTTAGTGAGTCTTTCAGCAGAGTCTCAAAATCATTTTTAAGAAAGAAATGTTGTCAAAAAGTGGAAAGCATTTTCTAGCGTTCCATGTTGAAAAAATGTTCATTTTCTAGAGCTCATCGTTTACCGTTGGTTTTCGAAACATTTTCCACTGAGTATTATTTGCTCTCCATCGAAAAAAGTCAGTGATTGTTCTAGTACAAGAAATACATACAAAAAAGACAAAAGAATCCGAAGAACAGTTTCATAAAAAGAAAATTCGTTGGTAATGTATTAAAATCTTATTTGTTAAATTGTGCGTATCGTTTGTAATTTGTTAGTTTGTTTTATGTTTATAAAGAGTAAATAAAATGATAAAACATTGGCACAGCTTAGAAATAACAGCAACATCCCCCGTATCCTCCGTAGCCGTATGTTCCGTATCCTGCAATACCTATAATGCAAGCGAAAAAGTTTTTGTCGATTAAAAAAATATTCAAAAATCGATGGTGATCTTATTACCGAAATTAGCGCAGGGGCATGCTACTGGTGTTGCAACAGCCATTGGTAAAGCGCTATTAAGTAAGAGACGAAGAATTCGTTTAAAGTTTTATTTCACGACATCACATAAATGATCTTACCACATCCCAACAGGAGAAGCTTGAGGTATAAAGATGGCACGGATTTTAGGAGGAAGTGGCTTTTGTCGATATCGGCGTCGTCGACGAATAGTTGTAGAAGTAAAATTATCTAAGTAATAAGAAATCAAAAGAGTGTAAAATATCTATATTGGTATGTGAAATATGTAGAAAACAATAAAAGTTATCCATGATTACCTGTTGGAAATGGCTCATTAAAAACCGGAGGAGGAATATCAGGAGGAGGCACAGGAGGAGCACGTTTGCTTCGTCTGTTTCCCATGTTTCTTTGTCGTTAAATAGCTATTATGATGCCTAGAATTAATGTAGAGAGATTGAGAGTCAGAGAACCTTATTCTGCCGAACATAAGTAATGTACAGAACTGGATTTTAGTTTTCGAAACAGAGCAAACTTTTCTCTATCGATTGATGTATATTAAAAATAACAATTCTAGTTAAAAATAACATGAAAGCATGAGAGAAACAAAAGAAAAATATTTTTGATACTTTTCTTTTCAACAAATCAATCAAATTATGTATTGAGTTGGCTTTATTTTTTTCATATTATATTAACTAAATTTTTACAAGTTTTAATTAGAATAGATGATGCGATCGATTCATGACAGTTGACTAGCGTTTACTATTAGGAAATGTCTGCTTAGTTTACTTGTAAGGTGACAAAAATGAAAAATTCAAGTAAATTTCTCTCGTTTATTTGTAGATAGTTTGAGAAAGCTCGAAAAATCGGTCATAAATAGAAACTTTTTATTTCGATTGCATCACTCTTTGGTTGCAAAAAATGTTTCAAAAACTGAAATGAATGACAAAGTATCATTTTGACCTTGAATTTACTTCTTCTATAGATATTGCCAAATTTCAAGTTCAGTTAGTTTGGGAACTTTTTTTGCAAATATGATATTCTGAATATTCTAAATGTAAACTTTGTGATGTTCAAACGTATGATTTTTCATGCTTTAATATGTAGATAAATATTAAAATCTATTCACAATTAAATATTTCTCTTACGTGCAAAAAATAAAGATTTCTCCTTGATTTGATTAAGTATTGACAAAAATTGATTGAAGGCTTTCGTTTAACAAATTCATTTTTTTATAACTATTCTATTAATACTGCTTCAATGTGGTTTAAATTTTTGTTGATCAATTATGAATAAAATATTTTTCTAAGCTAGTGCAAACATTTAATTATGTATGGTACCGTTTTCCTTAGATATGTTAATGAGTTTTTACGTTTTTTTTTGTTTAATATTTTAAACCTGTTTCTCCACGTTTGATTGTGGTATTAAGCACATTCTACAGATAAAATAGACAATTTAAGATATGATGACTCGTTGAGTGCTACGTAAGACTATTTGAAGGCGCACTTATTTCAATATCCTTACACGTATGCTACTGCTCTGAAAGTCTTATATTTCGTGCCCTTGCATATAGGCTTTGACTCTTGCGCCGTTATAGCTATTGCCTTAACTCGATTCCGTAATTCATATGTGCTTATCCTTGTACCCTTATATCTGTATGCTTAACTGCATATGGTTACACTGGCAGTTTTCATGAGTTAAGAAATTGAACCTAAGAATGTATGTTAAAAGAAAAAAAAAGAAAACAATAAAAACCAATAGCTACAATTATGGTCTTTATTACTTGTGAATCATGCTTAAAGAACACGTAAGAAGCTGTAAGTGATAAAATGTATTATTTATTGAATGAATTTTAGAAAAAAACCAAGTCGAATATTATGAAGACAATAAAAAAAAAACACTAACCAATTATCTAAGAGTTAAATTCTATTTAATAACCGAGCTATACTGAGCATATATTGAACGCAGTAAATCAGTACCAAAAACAGAAGTAATTCGAATTACTTAAAACATGTTATTGTCTTTAAATCTATATAGATCTGTGAACGCTATGCAAGTTTTGAAAAAATTACGTATTTTTGTAACTTGTCTAAAATTTCGTAATAACGCCGCTTTATCTATAGTACTTCGTTTGAATGGCATAATCGCCAAACCTTAACTAGTATACACAAGTTTATTACATATTTGGTCTACCTGTACATTTTTCTTTTATTTCTTTCCTCTCTGACTGTTTCTCTTTTCTGTCATATAAGTTAAAACTATTACTAAATGATCATTCGTCACTGCATGATACTGATTGATTGATATGTGGATGTTACCTTGATCAAAAGAGCTTATTTAATATAAATAAAAATTCAGGTAATAGCTTTTTTTTAAATAAATCATTGGATAATAGAGAGGAATCAAAGCTCGAATTCAAGAGATAAAAGTGAGGAAGACAACCGTAATTCTATAAAAAAAAGAAAAAAAACTATACTAGTTTGTATTTATAGCTGTTTATTGTTGAAAAAACATGTTTTTAGATATTCGTTATGACTCCTCATATAGTAGATACTGATATATCGAGACGTTTTAACGACCATGTCAGATGATAAACGCTTTGCAACATGAGTGAAGCATGAAAACGAAAAAAAAATGTGATGACTACAGTTTTTTTGCCGTAAATTATATAGAAATAAGCGAGAAAATTTCAATCGAAATTTATATTTCGGGTGCCTTGTAAATAGACTAAGAGGTTGCTTACTAATTCATGGCGCTAGTCAACTGTTATTAATTGATTGAACCACTTATTCAAACTAAAACTTGTTAAAATTTAGTTCATTTACTATGAAAAAAGTAAAAAAACACCTCAATCAATAACTTGGTCGATTTGTTGAAAAGAAAAGTATCAAAAATATTTTTGTTTCTTTCATGCTATCATGTTACTCTTAGCTAGAATTTTTATTTTGATATAAGAATGATAGTGAAATTATACATTTCAATTCCAGTTATTCATCTTTTTAAAGAATTTTCGTTCATTCTTGTCGATAAAAAAAATCGAGATAGACAAACTTGAATAAAGGAATCGAACAATATCTATTTTATTTTCATCTGAAGATCATTTTCATGAAGAAATTTAGTTTTTTTTCTAAAATTTACCACAATCATAAGTGTAAAGGACAAAGTTAGGAAAAAAAATTATAATGACTCGCGAAACAAAAAAAGCAAAGCAAAGCTGGATATAGAGAAAAGTTTTGTCTACTTCAAAATCTAAAATCCAGCTTTGTATGTCACTGAGAATTTGAGTTATTGATAATTTCCGGAAAGCAGCATTGATATTATATTAGTAAAAAAGCAAACTACGACCCTTGATTTAAGTTTTACAGAATCAACTCACGTTTATTGGATTGATTGCAACGATGGTCGTTCTCAGATGATTGACTTGAAACGAATGTTGGTGGTTTTATAGGTGAATCGTGTCGCCTAGGTATCTTACAAAATATAAGAGAAAGAGAGAAAAAAAAGGAAGAAAGCGAGGTTATTTTTGTTAGAAAGCAGGATGCTGACGTTTATCACTTATTATAAGGACTACGCTCATATAGTAGAATTGGCTAATTATGTTTGTCTCTAAGCTATTCGTATATCTATCAATGATGTGTCAATACAAGGATTTTACTATAGTTGTACTATAGACAAGAGTAGAAACACATCGTTATTTATCAAACAGACTTGTTATGTCGTTTACAATGTAAAAGAAAGAGGAAAAAAAAACACTCTATTTATTCGGTGTAAATTCATGGCCAAGCCATTATATATCAATTATTCAAACATCACGATCATTAACCAAAAAAATTGATAACTATAATCAAATTGCATCTACACCTTCGTACTCGAAAATAGAAAAGAAAAAATAAATACAGATTGTTAGATAGTAAAATGTAATATTTTATCAATTATGTGATCAATGTCGAACTAACAATGATAACCTTGAAGCTGTTAATATTCATTACGATTAAAATGAAGAGTTGTCAAATAAATTGTTTTGATATACACTTAAGAGAAGGATATGTCAGAAAGAGTCTTTTTCAAATTCTATGATTATTGGCCGTAATTTTTGTCGTTTTATCAGGCATCTACCTGTAATTATTTAGTATTATTTCAAGGCTAAATTAATACTGTCTGAAAAAACAGCACGTATGACAAATACAGATAACATGTTAGTTATGTAAAATTACAGCAGATTTTGTTTGTTCACTGAACAATACATCTTTTTTAAAATTATGTTAGTGTATGTAACACTCGAAGTGCTTGCATGATGAAAAAAAGAAATGGATACGTTGAAGCAAAACACTGTATGACTAAACCTAAGCGTTACACTATATGCCACCGATTGTAATATTGAATGCCGATTCGTGATTGTAGGGATGGGTGTGGGTGTGGGTGTGGGTTGGTGTGGGTGGGTACTCGTGAAGAGATATTAACACCCACACCCACACTCAGTTTGTGAAAGTACAAATCTTCTCAAACCTCACTCTCAATCTTACACCCGCAGATCACTCTCATTCTTGTTTTCGACATTTTTTCTATCTACCAAAGTTGAGTTTAATCTGGATGTGGATGAATATGTGATTTGAAAAACTGATTATACCATTGAGCTTTCACTTTGAACTGAAAATTTTGTTCATTTATTTTCAACACTAATTCATTGAAACAGGACGATTGCGCTTCTGTAGACTTAGCTGCTAGCACAAATACTTGGAAAACCAAATATTTGATTGACTTATCCTGTAAGGTCTTATCTGCAAAAAAATCATTATTTTTAGACTCTCTTAGCATAAATAACAGAATAATCGTTCTATTGGTCGACGCATTCAAAAAGCGGACGCAGAGTAATTATCTTTTAGTTACTTAGCTTTTGAAATTGCAGTCTGTTAATTTGCATGAAGTATTCTGCTGTATATGCTATCAAAGCACAAGGAGAAAAGATAAGAAGCTGAAATGACTAGTTATTGTTTTGATGAATCCAACAATCAATAACAGATATCTTATCAATGAGACAAACCACGTTGCTTTATATTGAAGTGAAAAATTTTTTGCGCAATAGAATGTAATTTCTCTGTCGGTGCGATCGAAAGTAGGAAATAGAAGAAGATGAATAGGTGGTATGTGCCATTTCTAGATGGAAACATCTGCGAACGAAGTCGAATCCCATGTCGTAGACAAACGGATGAATTCTATCAGCGAAGTGACCATCAAATGTGAATCATCCTATAGTACAACGTTAAAAAGTTCTGCAAAAATGAAACGCCAATCATTGCATCCATCTCTGATGATGTGTCCACTCATGATACAGTAGCATTAACTCATGACGAAACTGGAAATTCGAAAAGTGTTAATACGTCAGAGTATCAAACGGCCGAATTCACTGTTGCTGTTCATGATTTAAACAGTAAGATTTCAGGGGCTGAACGAACAACAATAAGGGATTATTTCAAGGATAAATTTGTGCTCAGAGGTATCGTGACGCCCAATGTCATACAATCCTTTCTGTCGATCCTACCGAAAAAGATCAGATTTGATATTGAAGTAATGCCAAAAATCAGTGTTTCCTATAGAAAAAATAGTCGAACACGATCTGGATTTCATTGGGCTCTTTAATGGCATATTATGCAGGAAAAGATCCGTTCGCTTCCTGTTGGTTCCAATTATCGAAATCGCTCAATTTTTTCTCTTGGAGGGTGTGGATGTAGCGTGTGGGTGTCGGTGTGGGCTTATTGAAGTGACTACTGACCCACACCCACACATCCCCATTCACACCCATACCCACCTCCACCACACACCCACCCAGACCATCCATCTTTGTGTTATAACAATGTGTAGGGTATGTTAGTAGTCTAGAAAATGTCTGATCTGTGCGGCTTAAACCCTGGAACAAGTCAGAGAATTTGATCAGATTTAAGCCTAAAATTTGTTGAGTCAATGTGCAAGAAATCATACCCAACTTTACCTCTGGCTGCATGCAGGATTTCAAGTCATGATAGAGTAAATATAGATGCATTCAGTGAGATCGATTGATTTTTTTGAATAATTAGTCGTCTCATTAACGAGTCAACAGACCTTTTTGTGACGTTTAATTACTAGTATTGTCACTGTCTTAGTGATCTTTCTTTCATCTATTCAATAAAAAAGGAAAGAAGAGAATGCCAAGTTATTGTATTACTTTTTTATTCGTTGCAAACAATAAAAATCTGGATTGTTATCTGAATCATGCTGCTGACGAATACTCAAGACATCTTTAAAGAGCTTAGTCACCTTTTGAAAAAAGGATTTTAGTTACACGATGTGGATACCATGAAAAAATTAACGAAAAATTAGGGGCGTGGGTATGGTTGCGACTAGAGAGATCCCACAACGACATCCTGTAAGAATAAGTTGAACAGATAACCTACACTTCCAGCTATCGTTCATTCTCTTGCAAAAAAATAACTTATGAAAAGACGACGAGTTTTTTATGCGGTTAATGAGAATCGGTGTTTCAAAGGTGAGAAAAAATGACACTTATATAGCGCACAGTTAATAACTTGTGTAAACATACTCATTCACAAGCATTTATTTTATACATGCATAACGTTCCAGCGCGAATATAATATTAGGCAGATACGTGAATGTTTTTTATTATGCAAAACTGTGTTTATTCTCTGGTAGTTCTCACGATGGTGATACTTGATTATTCTTAGCATTCTTTTCTTTTTCTTCAGTTGTTTGCCATCGATACTCGGCCAATGCATAACCACTGATTCCTACTGAAAGAGATACAAGGAGAATAATAAGAGTGATTCGAGTACGTATACGAGGAAGAAGGATATAGAAGAAAGCAAAACCAGCCGACTCCCAAAGACGATAATTTGAAAATGCCGCTTCGTTATTGTCAGTAAATAAGACGCCGTACAAAGCACTAGTCTGTGATTGCCAAACGGCATCGGCCACTCCCCAAAAGCCAGCTATGATAAAAAGAACGACTATTTGATCAGCCAAAGGTCGCCAAACAAGCATGGTGATTATCATTGCATAACTGATCAGTGTAGCAATTGCAAAGCATGGCCAACGTCCAACTATTTTAACTAGTTGACCAAAAACGAAACTACCAATAGAATCACATACTCCAAAGGCAATCATGATAAGGCCGACGTATTTAGCATTGATCGCGCACGAAACAAAAGCCTAATCATAAAATTGGACAAATCATTTACCATTTGTAGTAAGAAAAATACGAGCACTCACTTGAGTAAATTGAGCAAAAAGAAATGTTAGTTCAAGACCTGCCCATATAGTCATTGGAATGAGAAGAAGTTGATTGATATGACGCATATGTTTGATAGTTGAGATGAGTAATTTCACAGAGTTACGAAGCATAACCGAAATTTGATCTATAAGATATCAATGAAAATTTTAGAAAACACATAGAAGTATATCCTACCACGAGATGCTATACGTCGTTGATCAAGTAAAAAGACTAAAGTAAGTATTGAACAAATACCTATGCAAACGTAAATTATGCAAAGAATATCAATCTAAAGCAAGGTTCTTTTTAAAGACATCGAATCAAATATTTAAGTCATACTGTTCTTCGATCAATCTTGTTAACAACTTCTGAACTCTGGTATTCTTGTTCACTGAAATCAGCTCCACACTTGTCATACGTTTTGAATAGTAACAGCGTGTTGTTTTTTGTTCCATTGATAGTAGAAGGTGCTTTGTTTTCTGGTTTAAGTACTAAATATGATATCATATTGCCCCAAATCTGACCTGTGTAGTGATATGAAGACAAAACAAAACAAAAATATCGTGTGTATGTAAAAGACAAGAATAACAGACATGATTGAAAGAACGTGAAGAAGATCCCAAAAAATCGATTGATAATTGCATTCTTGTCGAGATTCTTTTCAGAAGCATAAACAGAACCTGAATCGGTTAGATAACTACCTTTTGATGTCCATAAAGGAGCAGCAGAAAGGCCGACAAGTGCAGCAGCTGTAAATGAAAGAATCAGTGATCAAAGTAATTAAAGAATTTCTTACTTGGATACATTAAATACGCTTTCGGATAGTAATTGGCAGCTATAAAAAGAACATAGCTAAAAAAAGAGAGTTTATATATAGTCACTAAAGACAACAGGTTTCTCTTTTCACCCTCTTCTCTAAAAAAAATCAATAATCGCGATTGTTCTTTTATTGTTATATATCATTCGTACAATGTGCACATCAGTCTTTTTTCTGGTCTCACGTCATTCCTGTTGTTATGTAAATTATTTATCAATGTCTTCTATTCGATAGAATAGAGAACGTGCTACATAACTGACTATTTTCTATTCAAAGCTGATACTGAAAATATGTCAAAAAATAGATCTTTATACGGGACAATATGATGTATTAGTTTAATCGTACATGAGAATTCCTACGATGTTATTTACCGCGTTTGTTTCGCTGTAAACTTCAATACTCATTAACACTCGTGTTTCACAAAAACAGATTTTTCTTCGGAAAAAAACCGAGAAGACAATCGAAATCATGGATTTTCACAGGGAATAAAGTATACAAAAAAGAAAATTTTAATCTTGTGTTTCTACTGTGAAAATGGTGAGACATGGAAAGACAGATAGTTGTTCCAATAGTTATTTTAGTAGCTGCATGTATGTACCATAAAAAATTGAATGATGGAACTGAAAATTGAATTTTGAAGCAACTAGAAATATGTATTAATACTTACGGTACTTGAGAAATCACTAAAGTCCATTTAAGACCAAAGATCGACATCAATGGATGTGGTAAAAATATGGATGAAATGATAAGAAAAACATATATGATCGATGATGAATTGACACCAATATTGGCTTCTGTATTGAGTGAACTTTGAAGATTTTGCATACCATTGAATGCAGTAAATTGAAGTAGAAATGCAACGCTGATCACCAATAAATTTTTGTATGTTCGAAAACATAATCGTTGTTGTTCTTCTGGTGAAGTTGATTCATTATTAGTAACAACATCATCATTGATGAGCGTTCGACCTGTTTGTATTTCCAACTCAACATTTGAAACCACTGACATGTTGCAATTATACAAGTAATGTGCACAGAAAGAGCCGATGATGATCGTTTGGAACCAGATAAAATCACACACTTGCTCGTCGTGTAAGAGAAAAGAAAAGATTTACTTATTATGACAAATATACAGTCGTTTCCCTCGACTACATATGCGTCTACATGAAGTAACCTTTGATAGAACAGATAAGACTGGTTGTTCGATGTGCCATTATGGTTGTGAAAAAAGAATGAGCTCGTGAAAATGTCTTTCGTAGATGAGCTATGTCCCTGGAAGGTCACGATTGTGTGAGGATGAATATATGCACCTTTCATTGTAAAGAAAACAGCGCAGAATAAGACACCTTTAAAAAGAAGTGTATTGGAACTTCTTCTTTTTCTTACCATTGCTACAGTCATTGATATTAGTGTTTCTTTGTCATTTGTTTCGATTCATACTTCAATCAATACATCAAGTTTGCAATGAAAAATAATCATTTCTATTGAGTAGACTTGTTTTTATACTAACTGATACAGGAATAATTTTACATGATTGTGCGATCACATATTTTTATCTCTGTCATCGAAAAATAACGAACAGAATAGAATAGAAAAAATTCTGTAAGATAAAAGAGTGTTAAGAAAAAAAAAATGAGAAAAGATAATTAACATATAAAAGTCTCCTTAGTTCTTAAAAATTTAATGGTTCTTCATATAAATAAAATCAATGCATGAGATTTGTTCATATCGTTATGATTGTGTCTTTACAATTTGTAATACAAGAATATGTTGTATTTATTTTTATTTGGCATTAATCAACATGAAAAAGAAAATAGAATGTTGACAATCGTTATCTCCACCATAGGTAAAATTTGTTATTAACCACTTTTATTGAACAGTCTTCAAGAAGCTTTTTTGATGTAATTAAAGATTTGAGTTTTTCAATTCACATCGTATTAACTCCAAAAAATACATAACGAAGATAAACGACAACTAGTTTGATTAGTTTTCGATGATAAGATGGTGTGGATGTGTATATGAATCTTTTCTACATTTACATCCTGACCCACACCCATACTCAACATTGCATGTGAAATCAAATACTATTTTGCATGATAGTGACTTATGTTTAAAAGATTCGTATTTTTTCCAACACCAAAAACTTCCACAATTTCACTTACTAATTGCGTAACACCAAAGCATTCACAATAAAGAAAAAAAACCTGAATAAGAAAATCTAAAGCAGTCAAGAAGTTATAATCTATGGAAAATATGCCAATGTCATTCAAACCTATCTTATGAATAATGAGTAGTGGAGGATTTTTGACTGCGAATGTAGGCGGCTGTGTATGCTAGGTTTGTTTTCACACTTGTCGTAATATACAGCCATAATCATACACATCTTCAAGTTAATGTTTTCTATTCGAGGTTCAAAACTATCGACCGAAGCAAGTAAAGAGAGAAGGTGATATTTTTGCCGTACAATGCAATATTTGCCCAATCACAAGTTTTATAGTTGTTGAGAAAAAAACTAAATAGAGGAGTAGAGAACTTGTCTATCTTATTATTATCATATATATTGTTACATTCAGTGTAAATTTTTTAAAGTAAAGCTCAAATTTAGTATGATTAAATCGCGGAATCTGATACGATGCATCATTAAGTATTGATTATGAACAAAAGTTTTCTTGAAAACCTCGATGAATGCTGAATTATTTTAAAAAAAAAGCTTATCATTTGAAAAGCTATCTTTGTCTCCAAACATAATTGGAAAAAGTCCATATATTTCTCACTGTTTCAGAACGTTTCGAAAAATGATCAGAATAACTAAATAGAGAAGGGTTTCCAAAAACGCCGAAACAAGTTTCTCTCATCACGAAAGTTGTATGAAAACTTGCAACAAGTTTTCTTTGGAAAATAAAACGTCAGAATATTCAGAAAAGAATTATTGCATGTTTTCCAGTGGCAAAAGTTTCCTTCTATTTGAATCTTCAAGCATGAAAGCGAACAAATGGAAACAACAATTAAAATGTTTCAACACCGTTTGCTAAATTCTTGTCTGCTTGAGTACTAGTTCTTGTAAAATAAAAGGTTTTACTTTCGAAACAATATTTCTGTTATTAGACAAAGAAAACGCTGTAGCATATACGTAAGATTGATAAACTTTGCATGAATACTAAAAAATGGAAGAAGGTTTAAGTAGCATCTAGTTTATAGGATAAGCTGTAAAAATTTTACAACTTCAGAACAACAGTTTGTGATTATTGATTTCATTCTTAGTCTAGTTGGAGCGGTAGATTATTCTGTATGCATCTGCAGTTATTCATTAGACTGCTGTTGAGCTCTTCGGTCTTCTTCTTGCTTGATCATCATTTGTTGAATATGAGTTGGTAGAGCAGGATTGAGACTGAAAGCGTACGGCATCAATCCATCGGGTGTATTTACAAAATCAACCATAATTTTGATGAACATTGTGTCGTCTTGTACATAATGATTTCCATCCTGTTGAATTATTTTTAATGAAAAAAATTCTGGTATACCTCTGTTTATGTTCATGTCCAATTCAGATCCTTGAAAACTACTTGATCTAATATATGGTAGAAATGAATGGATAATATGTCGTTTTGCAGACGTTTGATCGTACAAACAAAAGGTAACTTTATAATTGAATGGAAATTTGAGATTAGCATCGTTTAAACTTTGCATGAGCTCAAAAAAAATAGACATATGTGTACCACGAGCATTTCCATCACCATTTAAATACAAACGAGCTCTCATTTTATAACCTGTTGGAGATGAAAAAAATGGAGGCGAATAAATTGATGTTTGTCTTTCAGACTGTGCATTTTCTAGAAATTAAGCAAAACAAAATACGTGAAGAAGAAATAAAGCAAGATTAAAGAAAATTAACACATTGATAACGTTGAAGATTGATTTCATCAATACATCGATAAATTAATCATATATTGTACTCCAGAATGGTTAGATTTCATCTTGAATATAATATTCGACTAAATATATATTATTTGTCGATGTTTTTAGAAACCAAATAACATTTTATTATTTGATAGATTTTAATGATTGAGTATAAGAATGATTGTTCAACTTACTCATTTTCTCTTGAAAACTTGTGATTTTCCATACCAATGCTCCATCATATGAAACATTTTGCGATTCATTGATTATTTCCTGTAGTGATGCAAAAACTCGATTGAGAATGCTTTGATTTTGTTCAATCTCGTCCAGAAAAACATTTGAGGTTTCAACCGATAATTTAAGTTTTGATAATTCTTTTGTCAATGTTGGAAGCGCGTTTTGAATTCCAAATGATTCATTACTTAGACGTTGTAAGTCATTGTTCAATGTTTCAATGCCACCTGAAAAAATACTAAGCATTTCATAAAGCCCTTGTAAGTGAGTTGTGATTGGATTAGAATCTCCTGCAACTGTTGCTCGAAAAAGATCTTTATGTGCTTGTATATCGTTTAACTGTGATAAAATTTCACGAACAACTATGACAGTGACATATTGATGTTGTTCAGTTAAATAATGCTCTTTCATTTTGTTAAGAGTAATCTAAAGAACAAACATTTTCAGACGTTATATTTAGAGAATATCCATACTGGCTCATTACAACCATAATCTTTGAATATACAATCAACCATCAAATTTTGACATCCAGAGACTTTATGTTCATTGATGTTGTCAACTGAGTTGAATTCTTCATCACAATATTCACATTTCAAATTTGAATGACACTCATCAAGATGTTCCTTTTGAAAGAAAAATAATAGAAAGATTCAGAAATAAAGTTAATATAAATAAAGGACTTGATAGTTATGTAAGACACCAGTCCATTGGCAAAAAGAACAATCAATAGATAGTGATTTCATATCATTTTTGAATCCTTGATCAGGCATGATCTACATAAGTCAAATCCTTTCTTCTCTTTAATTATAATGAGATATATTACCTCAATTCGTGATGTTTCTGATTGACACATTGGACAGTGAATTGTCATTCTTAAAAAATTAATAATAAAGAATCATGTAATAAATTAATAATAAAACTTGCTCATGGTGAGCATCGAAACATGATTGACACTGTCGATGACCACACTTTATGAATTGTACAGGATCTCGTAGTATCAATGAACACACAGGACAAATATATTCTGTATCAAGAATATGTTTATTTTTTGCATCTAGACCTACCATGATTTCAATTTAAGTACTAGACGTATGTGAAGAATAGTGAATCTACAGTCCAAAAAGCAGTATTAAAATACAACAAGGCTTTGAGATTTTCAAAATGAAAAAAATAAAGAGTTTGAAATAGATCTATTTACTGATATTCTATGACAATGATTTATGGTTTGATTTGTTTTATCATCAAATTAGTCAGTTGGAAATTTTTTCATATTGTTTTTCAGTCTATAATCGGATTTTTTGTTTATTTTGGTATTGGTTCATCTTACTGCATTAATTGTATTTATCATATGCAACTTCAGATACATCTAATTGTCTACAAATAAAAAGAAATCAAAGACGTACTTCTCTGTCAGATGATCATCAAAAATAATTATGTCATTCTTATAAAGAATAACTATGAAACTTCTCAAGTTTATAAGGATATATCGATGATTCATATGCATGAGTCAATGTCATCGGAAGTAGTATATGAAGGTGTAAGGGACAATAAAGGATTATTCCAAGCAGACTCTTGACAGATCCTTTATCATTAGAAATTAATTTCCAACAATTGACTAACATTATTTTTTTTTCATTTATTTTTGTATATTCAAATTAAAGAAAGTATTTTCGTAAGTATAGAGAAATATTCATAATTTCGATGAATCATGAAATAAAAAAGGATCGAATATGTTTTTCATTTTCTAGTCGGAAAAGAAGTTATGGTTTGGGAATCTAATGCTGAATAAACATTTCCAATTGAAATACTTAATCTCAGTTTCGCTATAATTTTTCTGGTAACACGAATGATGCTCCCCGGACACTTGCTCCCGCGACACTTGCTCCCCGGACAATTGCTCTCCAACGACAATTGCTCCCGCGACATTTGCTCTCGTGACATTTGCTCCCCAATGACAGTTGCTCCCCGGACATTTGCTCTCCTATGGCAATTGCTCCCTGGATACTTGCTCCCTGATGACATTTGCTCTCCTATGACATTTGCTCCCCGAACACATGCTTTCCAATCACATTTGCTACCCGGACACATGCTGTCCAATCACATTTGCTCCCCCACTTCACTTGGCCTTAAGCTACGGCTTTTTTGTTGACAAATTCAACATAATGGGCGTGGATGTGGGTGTGGCTAGGGCGTAGGTGTGGGTGTGGCTAGGGCGTGGGTGTGGGTGTGGCTAGGGCGTGGGATGTGGATATGGGTATGAGGTGGGTGTGAGCGTAGGTTAGAGCCCTTCGGGTCCAAGATTTTTGGACCCGGACTCGGACCCGTTTACCATTTGCTACACCTGCACCCGGAACCGGACGCGCTTGTTTAAAAAATGTTGAACCCGGGCCCAACCCGGAGGGTGTGGGTGTGGATGTGAATAAAGGAAAGATCCATATTTACACCTACCCACACCCTTTTCCTATTTTATTTGTTCTATGTTCTTCATATATTCATAGATCAATACTACCACCTTTCGAAATTCTGATAAAACTGCAGTAAAATTAGCTATATATTTAAAATTAATTGGTGAATTTTCAGGAATCTTAAATTCTGCACGAATTTCTAATCATCTCATTCTTTTCATAATTTTACCAATTTTTAAGTCTTTAAAAATTATATTGAATTTGTCAACAAAAAAATCGTAGCTTAAGGCCAAGTGAAATTGGGGAGCAAATGTCATCAGGGAGCAAGTATCCAGGGAGCAATTGCCATAGGAGAGCAAGTGTCCGGGGAGCAATTGTCCTTGGGGAGCAACTTTCCTTGGGGAGCAAATGTCATGAGAGCAAATGTCGCGGGAGCAATTGTCGCTGGAGAGCAATTGTCCGGGGAGCAATTGTCGCGGGAGCAAGTGTCCGGGGAGCATCATTCATGGATTCAATTTTTCTATACATTTCATAATGAAATAATCCAGAAGTTTCTTCTATTTAAGTCATTTTTGCAAAAATATATTTGTTACTAGTAGAGATGCAATGCCAAGCTTTTTCTGAATGACGATATTTGGATATTTTTTTACAACAATCCTCAATAAAGCGAACGTACAACAGTCAACGAGATCTTCGTTTATTTTGTACCTTCTCCGATCAAAAGCCTCAATTTGAAAAGCTAATGTTTTTCATTTATAAAAAGAAACCAAAGTGACGAATTCAGACAAAACTGAGCGAAGTTATTAGTAAATTATGAGCATGAACATGATCTATACAACCTTACTCAATAATTATTAGATCCGAAAGAGCTCTAAATTTTGATCATAAGGATGTGGATGTGGGTGTAAGTGAACAGAATATCATATCTACACCTACTCACAACGTAATATTTTTTCTTTTCTCTAACTTTGAGAAGGAAAAAATAATGACACATACTTTAGGATGAAAGATTTTTTTACCAACTTCATCTCCGAACATAGAAATTTATTTAAAAAAGTCTTAACACTATTAGATACTTCCTAGAAGTCCATAATGAATATTAGAATAATATATTAATCAAAATTCGTCATTGATTCATTATAATCGAAATAAATCGTATCTACAGAAATATTCTTTAAATGAATTACAATCAATACAACAAGTTCGAATAAATAGTCTTATTCAGTGATCATATTTTACGGCAAGTTATGAATTTATAGCATATGCTGGTTGATTTCCATGTAATGTGAATGATCGAGTTATATGTATGTGTTATAATAGAATTTATCATGAATGGACAATGACTGATGAAGTAATTGAGAATACACTTGATAAAGATGTTGAACCATCTCATCCTGAAATCTCTCGTCGAGAAACAACAGTTTCTAATACTACTTGGAAAGAAAATTCACCAACTATTGAAAATTTGGTTCGCGTAGGATTCTTTAATGTTAGCATTGATAATTCAGTGACATGTTTTTATTGTAATGGTTCATTACATGAATGAAGTCCAAATGGCAATCCTCTAAGTGAACATGCTCCATGGTTTCCTCACTGTACTTGTGCTAAATATCTATGTGGCAAACAATTGTATGGAAAAATTCAAATAGCAAAAAACCGACTTTTCTTCGTTTACAATATTTATTAGCAGTTATTAAACGTTGTTTTGAAGATCAATTCAAAATTAAAAATGATAAATTTAAATCAGATACTGATTTATCAATTAGTTTGTCGTATCGATCGAAAACAAATTGATATTATTCAAGGTTCTCCAGAAAATTTTGTTATTCCCTCTCAATCACGAAAAGAATCATTTGGTGAATGTTTCATGTCTTAACTACAGTAAAAGAATACGCATGTGCCTTGTGGACACATATATACTTGTGTATCTTGTGGAGATGCAATTCGATCATGTTCCATATGTAGGAAAAAAAATTCAAAGTTTTATAAGAATTAATTCTTAAACTTGTCAATTTATTATTTAAAAAATGTGAAGATGAGTGTAAAGAAATATTTATAATTGTACACTTGTTAAGATGACTATTTCATGATATAGATCAGTTTTTAAACAGTGAACATCAAGAGTTGTATGTTTAATTAGTTGTTTTAAAGTTAGAAATACTTGAAACCAATCATGTTGAGTATAATAATTATTCGAATTTATAAGTATATGTAGTCATAACTCGAAAAATTCTCACCATTATGACGCAAAATATGAATTTTTCTTATCATTTTTTCTTGTTCTAAATGTGTTCTTATTTCTTAGATGAAAAAAAAATTAAACTTTAAGTTTTGAATTTAAATACTAAGAAAACGATTAATAAAAAACAGCTAGGGTGTAGACGTGAGTGTCAATATTCTTTCTTTAATACCCACATCCTCATGATCTACTGCTTTCATGTTCGGCACAATTATATAAACAGTAACTGTGTGTTTATAGCGAAAAACCAATTAGCAATGATTCCATTTTGAACTATTGGCGAATTATTTAATTATGAAATTTGATCTCAACCACATGATGCTAAATTTACAGATGTATCGCTCATTGAACATCAATTAGGAATATTCAATGCAAAGTACGTAAAATACAGTGTACTTAACAAAGAATAAAAGTCGAAAACTTGCAATGATGGATAAAATTTCTACTAGATTTAGCGAATCAACACAAAGTGTTAAACAACAAATATGTGTTGGTTAAATAAGATTGTTGTAATACTCATATAAAAATCTTTCGCTCTGAAATTATTCTCTGTCTGCATTGCAATTCATTTTGTTGCGTCTGAAGACTTATGACACACTATTGTTTTTTTACTTTGACGGTGAATGATAACAAGAACATGCAAATAAAAACACTACAAAAAGAACCTAGACAATTCGTTTCATCTTCATTAAAGTTTGATGCGGCAAGGTCTTGAATACAGTCGCAGTGAGCGCGCTAATATTCAATAGAATTACTAAGCTCTGATTCGTAGTATTCTTTCACGCAAACGGGCTTGTACAAAAACTGTTATGAGTAGATTTGGATTTGAAAAAAAGGATGTGGGTATAAGTGGGGTTCTGGTATTCATCCTCATCTACACCACTTCTCGACTACATTCACACCTCACACCGTAAATCAAAATTTTTTTCGTAGGTTTCAAATTTTCTTGAAGACGCGTATAAATTCAAGAAAAGTTTTGACAAAGTTCGATTAAAATAAATTCAAGTTCAGAGCTTTTGCGACTTGACAATTATCGCATTTTCGAAAATGATTTTTCGGAATACAGATAGTAAAGTTTCTCTGATAGTTTGTTGTATTTCATGTTGATGAAAATATGTTTGTGCTTGAACAATGAATATTGAAAACAATCAGTGCTAATCTATTCAACGACTTTATTTTATTCTTTTTCGATATCAAATGTAATACATTGGAATAAATTATTGGATGCTGCAATAATTCGAATCCTTCAGATAACGTCAATGTCTGAAGATGTCTTGTCGGAAGAAACGAAATCATATTAATATCAGTTGTTTTCAAATGACGAATTCGACAAAATGTCATATAATCATCACGAGAGAAATTGCATTCGAGCAGAACGTTGAGTGTATGAATATTTGGAAAATGTTGTGATAAATATATGTATATGATACATCAATAATATATCAAGTTGTTCAAATGCTTATGGAATCATGTACAAATATTGATATAAACCATTCGATTTCGATTTGCATGCTAAAGGCCAACATTTGCTTAGTGCTGCAAAAATCTGAATAAATATTCATGGATTATCTGAATAAAACAATGAAATTGACGAAGTCGAGGTATTAATTTGGAAAATAATATTTCAATTCGATCGTCTTTTACAAATTGTTTATTGCTACTAATCCACTGTTTTACATCGAGGATAAATCTTTCGAGTTGAATGAGAGGCATAACCGTTCCACGTCAATGATCAAATGTAGTTGCTACTTGTTCTTCGGTCGTTATTCGGAATTCAACCAAATGCATCATCAATTGACTTGTCCAAAGTCATGGTACCAGTGATCGTTTACATACGTTAGATTCGCGTACAGTAACATTAAGCAAGATTAAATTAGGGATCAAACCATCAATTGTTTTAGATGTTGTTTCGAACATAGTTGTTTATAGAGAACGATACTCTCTTTTACTGTGAGTGAATTCAAATTATTATTGAATAATAAATTACGAAGTCTTTCGATTTTCAAGTAGTTAGTTGACGACTCTTTCTCAATCGATACAGATACAGCGATATGTAATGATTGTAATAAGCTAAATTGAAGATGTTGCTCCTTATGCATTCTAGTAATGACAAACGGAGAATGTAATTAGAACAAGACTTTATTGATGAATGAAACACATAAAAAAACAGTTCAATTTGTATGGGTATATTAATATTGCACATTATTAACGTCGATGATTGAAGACGTTTATTAACGAATAAATAGAGATAAACTTGAAAATCCGTATAAGAACATTTGGTCAAATTGATTGATTGACAATATTCACATATGCAAGAAAGCTAGGATTCTCTAGTCTTAATTTAAACTATGTTAATAGAATACTTGATTTATTATTCATATACTTACATTTATCTTTGTCATTCCTAGGCTGTGGGGTGTAGGTCTCCTTTTCATCTATGCCCACAGACCCAACGTGAGCATCTATCCAGAGGTTTTCAACTGATCAATCGCTTCTTTATCGGATGCCAGTGAGTTTTAAGTTATCGACCATGTTGATTTCGAACATAATCATGAGAAACTCACTTAAACTTTTATATGCTGGTTCTCCCGGCTAACAAACTTTCGCCAAAATCATGTGTGACCTACTCAGATTATAGAGTTTATCGAATTGTTTCTCAGACAACAATCTTTTCTGTTTTCCGAGCATGAATCTTAAGTAAAATAATATCATCTTGAAAATTTTCACATTGAAGCTTTGCCATACATCGGTTGGATGAAATAAAATGGTTGTATTTTCTGTAAAAGAAACTGATTAGAAACAGAGAAATTTACTGTTTGTGGCAAAAAGCTTGTTAGCTTGGAAACTAGCGCATGAAGACCTAAGAGAATTTCTGATTGTTATAGTCGGAATCAGTTTGGTTCATAACTTGCGATGTACTAACTTCCAATGGAAGCATGATTAGTTAATTGAAAATGTTCTCTCGTCAGAATTTTTAGGACTGCCTTATTTAATGTCAATTCAATTGTCTATTCACCCTAGAATGTATTCCCAGATAACTCAATTCTTGGGAAAAAAAAGAGCGACTTCAACGGACAACAACATCTCGAGATACATCAATTCAACCAAAGCTTATTTTATTCTTATCTATTGTTTATCTTTTGATTCTATCCGCATACAATTAAAGTAAAAAGCAAAAATAGTCAAACTCGAAAGAATGAATTTAATATCTTATTTTTTTATCTCACATAGAAGGATTTGCTTCTCGAACACATACATGAATGATTTTTCTCATATTTACGGAACAAATAAGATCTAAAAAAAAAAGATTTTCTATTTGAACTAAGTAGAAAATAAAACGAACATCATGTAACGTAGAATTGCCATAAGAAAAGAAAAATAGCAAATATACATCTTTGAAATTTTATAAAAGTATACAACAGTCTCGATTATTTGAAACAGTTGTTTTATTTTGTGAATTTGTTTGTGAAATATCAACACCATTTGTTTCATCTGGAGCTGAGGGATTTGGATTACTAGCTTGACCAGAGTTTTTCCTTTTTGCTTTTTTATCTTTATTTACTGCTGCTCGTTTATTTATTTGACGAACAAGATCAAAAAATATCTAAATAATATTACAATTAATTATTTTGTTTTTTATAAAGTATATTAAAAAAAATTCGAACCTCATTAACATTTATTCTTTGTTTTGCAGATGTTTCCAGAAATGTTGAATTCCAATGACATGCTAATGTTTGACCAAGCTCTTTTCCAACTACACGTTCATTTTCAAGATCACATTTATTTCCTACTAATACCATTGGTATCTATATTAATTATTACAAAATATGTATAGATAAAAATTATACATGAAAAACAAAATTTTTCTTACATCAGCTGTATCTTTTACTTTAAGAATCGTATCACGTAAATCAATAAGATCATTATATGTCGATTGAGCAGTTATTGAATACACAAGTACAAATCCTTGACCATTTTTCATATACAAATCTCGCATAGCTGTAAATTGTTCCTGAAAAAATATTTAAGATATATTATATTGTATGAATATCAAAAACTATCATATATTGCAGTTGGCGACTGCAAAAGGAGAAAAAGATCTCTTCAAGATGTTTTCTTCTAATGATTTAATGATAGACTTCGCCGTTGCGCTATGTGTGATTTATTACATTCTATTGATCAAAAAAAATTTTTCACGTAAGATCTACAAGGATTTATGATTATCGGCATTCTAGCTTTTGATATTTAGCATCTTTACCTTTCATAATTATTATTATCAAAAACAAGTAATAATAAATTGAATATTCTACTATGACTATAATTGTGGAAATCTATTTTTAATATGATCGATGCAAAGATCGAAACTATTACATATCTACAATCAATATGTGTTTAAATGTCAGATTAGATAAAATAAAAACAATCAAAATAGTTCGCAACTAGATTATATTTTTTTTTATTGATCAATAAGCGTAATACCTCTAGATTATTCTAAAAAAAAGTCATAGAAAGATCTCAAACTACTTCACATGTTTTTATAAACGAATAAGAGAATGAAATTTTCAAATGGCTTACTGTTCCAGCAGTATCCAAAATTTCACTAAAATAAAATCGAAATAAAAATACTGTTTTTTTTC